AGGAGTATTGCAGAAATGTAGCTTAAAAATTATGGTTGTTTTAATATCCAATGTTATTGCGAAGTAAGCGCAGCTCAACTGGATTGTTTTAATATCCAATGTTATTGCGAAGTAAGCGCAACTCAACTGGTTAGGTTTCTCGTGGTAGAGCTTGCCCATCTGGGTTCAAGTTCTAGATTTGACATGGGTGTTGGTATTTACGACTAATTATTCTTTTAGTGGTAGGTGACGTACCCATCGACAGCGAAGCACCGTGGTAACTTCTTCAATCTCAAAATGTACCGGCTCTGTATTTTAAGATGCTAAAGGGGTAGGGTGCGTGCACGCTGTGTTTCTAAAAGATTTCCAATATTATTGATTGTTTCTGTTTTAGTTTTATAGCTAAGAGAGAGGGAAGGGACACTAAAATCTATTTGATTTTTTCTTAAAAATGTATGGATTAGTGAACAGTAGCTAGTCCGTATAATATATATGATCCAAAGTAATAATTTTTTAATAATATAGTTAACTTGGTTCTTTAATTTTAAATTTTATAGTAAATAATCTAATTTATCTCCTAATTAGGGTACACTCGATCTCATTGATTGAGCTTATGTAGGGCATACAAAACGATATAGGCCATTAACGTATGATTAATTAAGTATTAAATATTACAAACATGAAAATAGTTTTTTTAAAAAAATGTATAGAATATATTTGCACAACACGCACAATTTAGTAGTTTGGAGAACATGCTCAAGATAAATGAGGGAGCCAATCTGATAAACACTTTACAACTCAACCTTAAATTTGTTACTTATGTACTTAAAAAATACGTATAAATCAAAAGTGTAGATCGAGTCATTAACGGCTAAAATTCAAACCGTGTTTAGCGAGAAAAACATGCAACTTATTTTTAGACAATACATTTTTTATTTGTGTTTTTGACAATATGTCCTGAATATTTTAATTACTCATTATTTCATCTTGAACTATCAATATATAGGCCCACAATAATAGTGTGAAATGATACGTTTATTTGATATTTTATATTATATTATAGATCTAGTTTTGGCTGTGCATGTTTGTTAAGTGATATATATTTTTTATACTACCACCTTCACTAAATATATGACATTGGTCATCAATATATAAAAAACAATAAAAAAAATACAAAGGAAGTATAATAGAAAATCCAGATTAAAGAGCGTTGTTTTCTTTCGGTAGTTTCACTAAATATTTAACGTTGGCTGTCATAAAAAAATACAAAGGAAGTGAAAATCCAAGTTTAAAAAAAGCGATGTTTTTTTTAAAAAATTTTTTCCAGTAGTACGTACGTATACAGTATTTTTTTTTTTTGCTGTATATCATTTCTTCTTTTCTCGGTTGTGGTTGTTAATTCGTACGTACCAATGCCTTCTCAGCCTTTTCTAGTCAATTTTTTTATGGAAAGTATTACTCGGTAAATTTGAAGGGATAGATTACTATTTATAACATATCTAATCCAATTGTGTAAACTAATGGGTCCACCAACTTTTTAAGAATTTGGAGGGATAGATTTTTTTTTCTTTTTTCTCAGAAATTTTAAGTTTTTTTCTATTTTATTATAGCGCCTTGTGGTAGCTTGAGAGCTTTTTAGAGCACCATGTGGCGGCATGAGAGCGTTTGTAGGAAATTTAATGGACTTTTAGTATATAATAGAATAGATAATAGATAGATAGATTGATGGTAAGAAAGCGGAGCAATGGATAGCGTGAGGCGCCGCCGTGGCATGGGGCGTGGCTTCTTCACGGCCTCGTAGGAGTGTTTGGTACATATGCACAGTTTGAAAAAAAAACTTAGAGGAGGAAGGAAAGAGAATATAGGTAGTTGTGTTGTAAAATACAGAATATAGGTAGGTTTCCATTAAATGATTATGTTATATATACAACTAATCTAAATCCGGTAATTAAACATTTAATATATATCTATCATTTATTCGAAATAATTAGATGTGTCGATATATCATTCTAATACTCTTCTCAACTATCCAACTGATCAAACGTATACTAATCATGCTGAACTGCTGGTAGACAATAGGCGACTCAATTAGCACGGGGTGCTAGACTTAATCTGTGTTTTGGTGGTTGTATTTTGTTCACAGGAGATAATTCCGATCCGACTTGTTGGTTCGTGACAGTCTCGCCGCCGTATATTACCCATTAACAAATGAATAACGGACTTTTTCTTTCCTTTTTTTTCACATCTGTTGCGCATAGGAAGGACATTAGCCGGTTTTAAGGAGAGAGAGAGAGATTTTAACAAATCTAATCCATATGTTTGCGCATAAATCAATGGCTAGATATTTCTTATATTTTCTCTAATTTATTAGAGTGCCATATGGCATTATGAGAGCATTTGTAGAATGACATGTGGCGGCTTGAGAGCGTTTGTATGAAGTTTAATGGATTTTTAGTATATAATAGATAGATAGATTTTTTGTGTTTAAAAGTGCCAGTGCAATTGTGCAAGTTACGTCATGCTGATGTCCGTTCTAATATTTGTTGTACACCATGTGTGGACCGTCAAGTTCATACTGTAATCGTGTCATTTTAACGTATTATCGCTTCTTTGCGGTACACTCTACACTACGCTACCCTATACTAGTTATTTAGACCTAGTTCTTTTTCTCAACTCTAAACTCTTCAACTTTCTCATTTTCTGTTAGCACGTTTTTCAAACGATTAAATGGTGTATTTTTTTTAAAAAAATATATAGAAGTTGTTTAAAAATCAAATAAATAAATTTTTCAATTTTATAATAATTAATATTTAATTAATCATGTTCTAATGAGGTTTCTCGTTTTACGTACGCTGCAAGTGGTCACAGGGGTATTTCCAGTATTTTTGCAAGACTTGACCAACTACTTCCTTTGTCTTACAAATATTATTATTAACGCAAGATGCTCATCCATCTAATGGGAAAAATTAAGCTTTTTAATTATTACTTACCTAGATCTCGAGGTTGAGAACATGATATGAGAAATCTACTCCCAAGTTGTCGGTCAGTTGTACACTGCACTGTTTTGTATATTAGAGACAGGTGCCCTAATTATGCTCTCCAAGAATTGACCAACAATTTCCTTAACTGGTCTTATTTATTACACAGTAAAGTTTAATTATTTTATTGTCAACTCCGGACCCCTTTTTTCTAAGACTAAACTCCAGACTTTTTTTTTTTACTAATTCACCGGGGGAAGAGCTTCCGCATCCGAATTTTCATTGCAACAAAGGGGAGGAAAACTGTCCATTACAATAAGTTTAGAGTTTGAAGGTGGGAAGAGTAAATTTGTTTCCAAACAGAAATTACATGTCGATCTTCAATCTTCAGATTTTCTGCCCTGAGGGCCACCTCGCTAACACACCTTTGAAGGCAGGAAACAATGGAAGGCGAACAACCCCTGAAAACTACGTCATGACGATGATTTCAAAGCGCCCAGAAACAAAGTAGTTAGAAGACCTGAAAATGTTTTACCGGCAGATTGTGCGGGTTTTAGTTGGTGTAGCATTTGCACTTGCTGAATGGGTGGATGAATTGCAATTGCCCGCCAGAAGCTTATTGCAAAAGGGCAAGTAAAACACAAGTGATTCGCCGTCTCAGCCCCATGATTACAGATGATGCATGCCGCCGATTGAACAATTTTTTTCTTTAGCAGATTTTGTTTTGTGGACAGTCTATTCCTGACAAGCAGCCATGCAAACAGCTTTACCTTTAGAGGCGCCCTGCATTCCCATATCCAGAAAACTCCAAACTTAAACAACACCTAAATGTCAGATCGGTGCAAAGTTAACTATACCCCTGTTGAGGTGCAAAGTCCCGTTTTTTTGACAAATTGACCCTTTTGGAAAACTTATTTCGAAACTAACCCCTGCCAAAAACTTCAACCAAAAATAGGCCGTCGCCTCAGCGCCAAACACATTGGCGCTGACGTTGGCCGTGTCACCGCCAACGGGACTGGCGCTGACATTGTGCCACCGTGGCGGCCGGGCCGATCCCCTAGCTGACGTGGCAGCTACCTCAGCGCCAACCGCTTCGGCGCGGAGGTGCCCAACATCAGCGCCAACCGGACTGGCGCTGAGGTGGGACTTGGCCGCAACCCCCAGGCCCAGACCAGCAAGCCTTCTGGATGGCTTGCGGGCTGGGACGTCAGCGCCAGCCAAAATGGCGCTGACCGTGGGAAACTCAGCGCCAGTCCACCTGGCGCTGAGGTGGGACTTGGCCGTTTCGGCCTTGGCCCAGCCCAGCAAGCCTTCTGGATGGCTTGCGGGCTGGGACGTCAGCGCCAGCCAAAATGGCGCTGACCGTGGGAAACTCAGCGCCAGTCCACCTGGCGCTGAGGTGGCACTTGGCCGTTTCGGCCTTGGCCCAGCCCAGCAAGCCTTCTGGATGGCTTGCGGGCTGGGACGTCAGCGCCAGCCAAAATGGCGCTGACCGTGGGAAACTCAGCGCCAGTCCACCTGGCGCTGAGGTGGGACTTGGCCGTTTCGGCCTTGGCCCAGCCCAGCAAGCCTTCTGGATGGCTTGCGGGCTGGGACGTCAGCGCCAGCCAAAATGGCGCTGACCGTGGGAAACTCAGCGCCAGTCCACCTGGCGCTGAGGTGGGACTTGGCCGTTTCGGCCTTGGCCCAGCCCAGCAAGCCTTCTGGATGGCTTGCGGCCAACCTGGCGCTGAGGTGGGACTTGGCCGTTTCGGCCGTGGCCCAGCCCAGCAAGCCTTCTGGATGGCTGGGCTGGGACCTCAGCGCCAGGTGCACTGGCGCTGAGTTTGGACATGTCAGCGCCATTTAGAATGGCGCTGACGTCCCAGCCCTGCTAAACTTCAGCAAAACTTTGCACACAACACAGGCAAACATCAAATGACAGAAATTTACAGGCAGTAATATATCCAGAGAACCATACAAAACATACATCCATCCATCAATCCCAACATCATTCCATACATCCATAGAATCCATCAATACATCCATATATGAAGTCCATACATATAAGAAATAAAAACATCCCATCGATCCTCGTCTATACATCCAGTCGAGTCCATACATCCAGTCCATACATCCATCGAACCATGCATCAAGTCCATCCATCTATCCATCCATCCAGTGAACCATGCACTCACCTCCTCCTACCTCTAGTGCGAGGACGAGGCACGTCGGGGGTGTACCTCCAGTCCTGCGAAGGAGCCCGCCGGCGTCGTGGTCGAGACGGGCCGGGCTGCGAGATATCCGGCTGTGACGACTCTGGTGCGTCCTCTAGCTGCGAGGGACCGAGCTCATCCGCCTCCTCTTCTCTGTCCTCATCCCCTTCTTCCTCCTCATCTCCTTCCTCCGCCTCTTTGTCTTGCTCGCCCTCCTCGTCACCCACCTCCCCTTCTTCATCCCCCTCTTGGTGGGCATGAGCATGTTCGACCACATCAGTCGACCTGCAGCCGAGCCTTGCTGCCAACTTCCGACATCGCTGCCGTAGTCTCTGCATAAAAAATAAGCCATGTTAAGTTATCGCTTTTGGAAGAAAACACCGTAGTTTCATCTCTTTCCAACGATTACCTGTAGGGCGTTGCGGAGGGTGCCGCCCTCTCCTTCGGAGCCAGGAGCCGTGCCTAGCGCCACTCCCGCGTCGTTGACGGTCCGCAAGAGCTCTCGAGCCTGTAGGATTGAAATGAAGTAAGTCACAACATATATGGCATTGAAATTGAAATAATATACAACATTAATGCTAGAAACGAACCACTCTGTCGCAAACAGGTCCCGTCTCGACCGTGGTACCTAGACGGGTACGAGTATCGTACTCGTTATGCTCCTCAACATCCTCGGGGTCATCCGCTATGTCGGCTAGTGTCCAAGCCGGACGTAGGACAAGACGGTAGGTCCTGTGGAGCCAGGCCAAGTACAAGTCGAACTCCGTCCCGTTGTGCTGACCCTGGTCTGGTACTCCATTCTCCTCGAACTTCTCCCATTGCGTGATATGATCCTGATGGTAGTAAGCCCAATCAGTCACCTTCTTGTTCTTCCGACGGTCCACCCTGCACGTATGCGAAATGTCCAACTCAAATATGTAGTAAATGTTGAAGTGACTGATTGGTCAAGCAAAATAAATTGTTAAGTGAAATTACTAACTTGTGTAGGTCGATACTCGTGGAGAAACGGTGCGGGATTGTTTGAAGCCTCCCGAATTGCCGCATCACGCGGTGGCACATCTGGAACTCCACTGCATAGAAGCAGATCAGTGGGCACCGTAGGGTCTTCAACGCATCCTCTATATGGCACATGGGATTCAGTTCTAGCTCGAGCACTTCCTGTGCCTGATATGGCATCCACACCACCTGCAGCAACAAAAATAAAACACATTGAAGCACAGTTAGTACTATATAGTAAGAAACCATCGTCATGTGTCATAGAACCCCGAATAGCTTACATGTTCTGGCTGTAGGTAGTCCATCTCGTTTGTGTAGTGGTAGTACGCCAAATTCCTGCGGCCTACTACTGGAGATGGGACCGATTCCCACAGGTGAGCTACAGTGGGACGTCGGTCTGCATCCTGGTGCGGCCAAGCCTGATGGGTCCTCCACATGGGCCGACCAACTGGAAGCCTCATCCACATCCAAACCTGCGTCACATACGTTAGCTTCCAACATGTTAGCAAGAAATTGAAATGTTATGAAACATAACATGCGTGAACTTACCTGTAGCAACCAAACACAGCCTGCTAGGTTCGCGTCCCCGCCTTGCCTTCGGCAAGCATCACAGAGTTGCCGGTACAACCAAGCTAGGGCAGCCGACCCCCAGCTGAAGGTACCCGCCTCGTCCCAGTCCGCGAGCAACGGCAGCCACATCCAAGAAGCCATGTCTCCACCAGAGTCAGGGAACAGAATACTGCCGAAGATGTACAGCACGTACGCCCTGCAGTATCGCTGTACTGTAGCCTCGTCTGCCTCAGCGGGACACTGACCGAAGTTGGCTCGCAACCAACTCAAAGGAACCCCTGACGCTGTGTCACCTGTACTCCTCGACCCTCTCCCTCCAGTTCCCCGACGCTGTGTCACCTGTAACCGGAAATTAAATGGAATCATTAGTAATTGCAAAAAAATTAACAAATGAATACGAAGACTCGTTAGTAATTCCCTGACGCTGTGTCACCTGTGACTGCCTGACCCCGGATAGGAAGACCCAGGATCATGGCGACGTCCTCCAGAGTGACCGTCAGCTCCCCGCACGGTAGGTGGAAGGTGTGTGTCTCTGGACGCCACCGGTCCACTAGGGCCGTCAGAGCAGCGGCGTTGTACAGAGGCACCGGTCGCTGCGCCATGGTCACGAACGCCAAGAGCTTCGCCCGCCGTAGGTACGGGACGTACCGGTCGTCGAACAGTATGTGCGCCGTGTGACCTCTGACTCGAAGGGTCTTCAAGCGCTGCATGAATAGACAAACATAATAACATGTTAGTCTTGTTATATTTATCTGAGCTAAATTACGATATTTGTATGATTTTCATTCGATGAAACAGTATGTTAGTTTAAACGATAGTTACTTTTTACGAGCAGTGAAATAAAAATGAAAGAGCGAACAGAGTAATCAAGAATAATATAAAATCATAAAGATTGAAAACAATCCTTGGAGCAATGGCAGCCTCTGCCTCTACCTGCATGCCGGCCTTTGCCTCTCTGTTCGTTTCTTCATTTCTTGGCCAGTAAAAAAAACGCAGGGAAGAAACAAAACAAAAAAACAAACCAACGTGCTTGCATTGTGTGCCTTTCTCATCAGTAGGAGTATACTAGTACAGCTACTGTATGAATACATGAAAGCTACAACCCCTGACCAAAAGTAGGAACAGTTATTAGACTTGATCTGTAACCAGAAAAAGAAGAAGAAAACTGAAACTAGAATAGTTTCTGAAGAATTAAGGCAGTCTACTTGTAAGAAAGACAAGAATTCAGTAAACATGGTGAATTTGAGGTTTAGTTTAGTACTCCTACAAGAAGATCATGTCTAACTGGTGATGAAGAAAAACAAAAGTCGGGTCATTTTTGTAGCTGACGACTGAACTGGACCTCAAAGAAAGCTGGAGCACACAACAAACTGTTTATCTTTTCACAAACCAAAGAAATTGGCATTCAATAACTCAATTTACAATTATTCATTGTGGAACTGTGCAAGTGGTAGCTATCTAACTACTTATGTTGACATTTATCTAACTACATTATACTTTTGACATGATTCGATCATAAAAATAATGGAATATTGTTGATGCTAACCTCTCCGCTGGCAATCTGTGGGGCCCGGTGCTTCTCCTCGTAGAAATCCTCCAACCCCGGAAAGTGCTCCATCCTGCAAATGAAAATGGAATCATTAGTAATTGAAAAAATATTAAATGGAAAAATCACAATGAGAACGGAAAGGAGGACAACAGAAAGTAAACATTGAAGCAACAATACCAACTTAGCAAATGAATGTCATCCAATCCCACCTGTGTGCTACCCTCACCACCTCCCCCCGTCCTACGGCGCTTTTTCGGTCGATCCTTAGACTTGTCTCGCTTCGGGCACCTAGTTTTCTTATGGCCTAGTTCGTGGCATAGCGAGCATCTATTTTGCATGACCGGCTCTGAATTTGTATTGTTCGGCTTTTGTGACCGTCGGTTGGCTGAGCTTTTGTATGCTTTGTCCATATCGTTCTTGAACCTTCTTGTCCTTCTTCTTCCTCGTGTGTTGTTCTTTAACGACAAGTCGGGCACGAATAACTCTCCATCATAACTTGGCCACTGCGATGGATCTAGGTAAGGTTCAAACCTAGGGGAGTACGAGTCCTGCACAGCCTTATTGGAAGCTTCATAACACATTCGGGGGGCCACCTCCACATCCAAACCTCGCAACTTACAAACGGTTATCATGTGGGAGCATGGCAAGTGATGGAGCTGAGGGAACTGACAACTACATGTGTTATCTCTCGCAACCACGACGTAGTGACGTCCACCCCATTGAACCCCAGCCGCCGTGACTCCGCCTTGCTCGCTGACCTCATACTTCATCGAAGGGAAATCAAAACATGCTGCTCTTTGCCCCAAGGTTCGTCTTTGCTGCTCCTCCAACATGTCCTTAACTTTTGTGGGCCACTTCTTTCCACACAGGATATCTACAGTTGCCTCTTTGTGTCTATCGACAAACCAACTATTGCACTTCGAAAATGTGTATGCCACAATAGCTGTAACCGGCAGTTTCCGAATGCCTCTCAATACATTATTGAAACTCTCGGCCATATTACTAGTCATGATGCTATGACGACGCCCGTTGGTATCAAATGCTCTTGCCCATTTGACCTTAAGTGGCATATGGTCTTCTAGCCACTTCTTTGGCCTCTCTCCGACCACACCCATGAGGCGTTTTATCTCATCTAGGAACAATGCTTTCTCATTTATTTGACATATGCGCTCAAGATCTTTCATCTGATCAGTCGTAGCTCCAGCTGTGTAGAAGTTAGCACAGAAGTGCCTCATGCACCACCTGTGGTGAATGGTTAGGTGATGAGGCATGATGTGGATGATGGAGTTCAAAATGCCAGGGTGTCTATCAGAAATTATACACACTTCTCTATTAGGACCGATCAACTTGTTTCTCAACATGTTGATGAACCACTCCCAGTTGGATGTATTCTCCTTCTCTACCAGAGCAAAAGCCAAGGGAACAAGATGTAACCCGGCGTCGACCCCTATTGCCGTGAGCAATGTACCTTGGTATTTACCGGTTAAGAAAGTGCCATCAATTGCTAGCACCGGCCTCAAGTGCTTGAATGCTTCTATGGACTGGCCAAATATCCAATATGCACGTCCAAATACTCGCCTCTGTACTCCATCCACCATCCTGGACTTCTCGGGATGAGCCTCAACACGGAAATGCATGGTAGGGTTCTTTGCTTTGATGGCACGCATCAGTGTAGGCAAGCGAACATACGCCTCGTCCCAATCTCCCCAAATGACCTTCATAGCAACTTGCTTAGCACGCCATGCTTTGCCATACGTAGGCCGATAGTGCCATATTTGCTCAACTGCCTCGACAATCGCTGCTGGAGATAAAGTTGGTTCAGCTCGCACAAATGCCTGTAACCTGTTTCCAATAAACCTTGAAGTAAGTTGCAAATGCTTGCCGGTTACTTCCGCACTACAGCATGTGTGGTCTTCGCCCACCCTAGTCACCCGCCACCTATCTCCTCCACTTTTCCTTGCATTAATCTGCCATTTGCAATGGCGATCGAGACAAGCCACAGTATACTTTACTGACGCGTTAGATTCCTTCACATGGTACGGCCGGTGGACACGGATAGAATAACTCTGTAGCCATATTTTCAGATCATCCATCGATCGAAACTCCAACCCCTTCCTTGGTTCATCACACATTGGTTCGAAGGCACCGTCATATTGTGGATCCCCATCAGCAATTGCTAGCCCAGATCTGGTAAGATCCTCGAATTGAGTTATTTCCGGGTTTCTACCCACCAGTTTCGCAAACACAGTCCTTTCATGCTCTGACATCTTACGCACTGGACGATCATCATCGGAGTCGGAAGCGGACTCATCCAATTCATCCTCTGTATCATACTCCAACCAGCCTGGGTTCAATCCACTGCGTATCATACCCTCCTCACACTCCTCTCGGGTATAGAATTTCAGCCTAGCCAACTCCCTTAGGCCCATACTTACATTCTTAGCATTCGCTTCTTCCTTAGGCAACTCCACATCATCTCCTACCTCCCGACCATCCTCAACATCTCCTTCCTCTCTTACCGGCACATTCTCCTCCACATTGACTTCCTCCCTTAACGGCACATTGTCCTCTGCATGTACTTCTTCCCTTAACGGCACATTCTCCTCTGCATGTACTTCCTCCCTTACCGGGTCATTCTCTTCCCTGACCTCCACATCCGCCATATCATTTACTCCCTCGCCCCCCTCCACGTCTTCCTCAATCAATTCTTCCTTCCTACTACACCTCTCCGACAGTTCGTGACAGCTAATGGGTGATTCTATGAGTGGACTTTCATTAGGGTCTATAAGTTCTTTCTTCCCTATCCTACCATCTTTCTTCCATGCAAACACCTCAAGAGATTTGAAATGTGACCCCAATACTATATCTATATATGTTTGCCATTCGATCTCTCCATTCAAGTCTAACATAAATTTATGTGACATGACACCGCCGCCCACATCGTATCTCCCTTGCATACCAACCGACTCATCATTCCAATCCAATTCATGCTTGATGCGAGACATTAACTCCTCAAAGGTAGGCTTCGCAAAAAACACTAATTGTCTAACTGTCATTCCCTCAAATTGGCTTCCATGTGTACTTTCATCTACCACACAACCACCATAATGAAGCCGGACCAATCTATCCATCTACAATTTTTAACCCATCCATAAACATTAATTACTTGAAAATAATATGTAATTACCATTGCAATACCAATACTTCAAAAGCTAACAACATGTCTAATTTTTCCAATAAATAAGTACATTACTCAAATACTACACATTATTGATAAAAAAAACTCTACTCCTACAAATTACCTACCCTTCACCACACATCAACCCCTTTCAAACCCTCTCAATCACCACAAATCCATCCCACATCCTAGGCCATCACCACACATCCATCTCCCATCAAACCCTAGTGCATCACCAAACATCCATCCCAAATATATTTTGTCAAATGTATCAATAACAACCAAATGGATAAAGATATGCCACCTCCACACTTCATCCCCACCCATATTATCCATCTAATAATCCATCCTTAGCCAACTATTATCAAACCACGTCTACAACCAAAACAATGCAAAATATCCAATAAAACTTTGGGTAACTTAGGGTTTATAGAGGGGTTTACCTTCTCTTCCGATCCCAAACTCAATGCCGCACAAATCACCTTCGATTAGAGAGGTTTTTGGGGGAGATTGGGCGAGGAGAACTCGGTGGCGACCGAACCCTAGGCGGCGGCTGGGGAAAAAACGGAGGAAGAACTGGCTGGGGCGGCCTCGGCCGGGCTCTAAGTAGCCAAGGTCAGCGCCAACTTACTTGGCGCTAAGGTTGGGCACCTCCGCGCCGAAGCGGTTGGCGCTGAGGTAGCTGCCACGTCAGCTAGGGGATCGGCCCGGCCGCCACGGTGGCACAATGTCAGCGCCAGTCCCGTTGGCGCTGACACGGCCAACCTCAGCGCCAATGCGCTTGGCGCTGAGCCGACAGCCTAGTTTTGGTTGAAGTTTTTGGCAGGGGTTAGTTTCGAAATAAGTTTTTGAAAAGGGTCAATTTGTCAAAAAAACGGTGCAAAGTCAGCACCTACTTTTTGAAACACAGAATAAAGCTCGGGAAACTGAATAATATACCGCCAATCCGTGTAACCTGAACAACTCCTGCTTTGCCTCTCTATTCAAGTAAGTACGTCGATCAAGTTCATCAACCAATATGTTACATTAAGTTCATCACAATTTAACCAACATGTTACATGCATCTGGTGCCTCTGCTGTTGTTGCGTACTCCGTTTGTGTTACTACAGGAGTAAACATGTTGCGCCCAACCCAACCTATAAAGTGGTATATTGTCCATTTTCTCATCTCTACAGCCTGAACATTTCCACAGACCTTTTTTTTTCTTTTGTAGCCGCGTAACACATGCTTTCTCTGAATCTTGGGTTTTCTTTCAGACTAGATATAGCTGAGTAAACATGTTACGCCGAGACGCGAATTAACGTTGGAGGCGGCGTAGAGGTATGTGTTCGCAGCCGCGCGCGTTTTGTCGAGTCATCGCCGGAGCTGGGGCCGAATCATCCATGGGGAGGCGGCCCGAGTCCGAGATAGACCTCATCGGAGCACGTGAAAGAAGATAAATCCATTCTTACTACTATAAAGTTATAGTATGATCCACTAACTACAATTAAGATACTAAATCTCAAACATTAATGTTCCACATTATCATCAATTTTTAGCCGTTGGATCATTGGATTAGATTGCTTCTTAGGTGTTGGATGAATAAAACGCAGTCACCACATGTGGCCCATTGATCCTAGGCCAATTTAATAGTGAAGGAATTACGGTTTCTTCTTAATTGATCGGTGAGGTCTTCTCCTATAGTAACAATGCTGGTGGTGTATGGTTTTCTCCATCGATGGCAGTCGATGCCCTTGTGAAAAATCTAATATGTTGTATTATGATATTTTCTGATATATTATATCGACCCTCTCATGAGGTATATATAGGAGTACATAGGAGATAGAGACTTGGAGTACAATACATGTAAGAGTAGATTTATCTCTAGGATTCTATCTCTAGAACTCTATTCTTATCCCTAGGATTCTATCTCTAGAATATATCTTATCTCTATAATTTATTTTTGACTCTTATCTCTAACTAACATATTATACTTCTAACAACCCTAACAGGCTAGCACGGCCTACGTGTGGTACGGTGCTGGCCTGGCCAAAAAACAACATGCAGTACTTTATTGCCAACAGACGTTAGCCATTCATCTCGACGCTGAGTTTCGGACACCACCACCTTCAAGGACTTCTTTTCCCCATAATTTATAGTGCTGATGTATGCTTCTTTTTTAAACTGACCGATTAATTAAACGTAATAAATTAAAAAGAGAAGCATGTGCTTCCAATAGCTACATATTTGATGAGAACGGCGTGTAGATTGGATGAAATATAGCTAAAGACCATACAAGTTAGATACTCCCTTCGTTTCAGGTTATAAAACTTTGACTATGTCAAACTGTTTTAAGTTTGACTAAGTTTATAGAAAAATATAGTAATATTTATAATACTAAATTAGTTTCATCATATCAATAATTGAATATATTTTCATAATAAATTTATCTTGGATTGAAATTGTAACTATTTTTTTCTACAAACTTGATCAAACTTAAAACAGTTTGACTTTGATCAAAGTCAAAACGTCTTATAGCCAGCCTGAAACAGAGGGAGTATGTTGTATTACAAAACATTCTCTGACCTTCACTTGCTTGAATTTTGTTGTCTTTTCTCATCTGAAGGTGATACCAAAATATATTATTGAAGCATACAGTTTCCTGCCTTGCACATATACAAAGGTATTTTATTATACCTGCCGCAACGCGCTGGATATCAACTAGTTTTACAGTTGTTGAGAGGTATCAATATCTATGGTACTTACCGATAACCTCCCTAAGGGTGTGTTCGGCACCCCTTTTCCCAACCCTTCTCGCTTGTTTTTTTCCGTGCACATTTTTCAAACTGCTAAATTGTGCGTTTTTTACAAAAAGTTACTATACGAAAGTTGCTTAAAAAAATCAAATTAATCTATTTTTTTAAAAAATAGCTAATACTTAATTAATCACGTACTAATGAACCGCTCCGTTTTCCGTGCACACTATTTGTGTTGGGATATGGGATGCCAGCCTAAGGACCGGAAGAACTGCAGGGCTGGGCTAGATAGGATAACGTGCAGCCCGTTTTATGTTGGGCTAGTCCGCTACTGTGACATACGTGCGGTCCAATTAATTGGTCCGAAACAAATGTGATCCACATACGGCCCATACTAATTAGGCTGTAAAGGGAGTGTGGTAGTTGGGCCGGAACACACCTTTGCTCACGCGCACGGCCCACCGAAGCGCCATACTAGTGAACCAATAATGCCTTGATCTGAGCCACACAGCGCACAAGATCGGACGGCTCGCAGGGACCCACGTCGGGTGGTGTCGCATTTCTGGCCTCTCCTCTCCGGCCGGCGGCGACACCCGGCGGCCGCAGAACGCCGGCGAGCGGAGGCAAGCAGCCGCGATCAAGACCTGAACCGCACGCGCGCCTCCGTCGTTCTTGGTGAGAAGTTCTCCTACCTGATTTTCTCCGAGTAGTTCATTCTTCCGCCTCTATTCGTCGTCTAGGGTTTTCCATCGCCCCTGCTCCGCCTTAGCTTCTTCGCGGCCTCTGCTAGGAACCCTGAATCAGGAAATATAGGGTTTTCCCGTAGTTGTTTTTGACGGAGATTCTTGCATTTGAGCCAAATCGTCAGTTGGTTGCAGATGCTCTCCACGGCAATGGCTATTTTCTTTGCTGCAACTGTGGTTGGTAGGCTCCTGGGACTGGAACACTGGGGGAAGGGGTTGCTCCGAGGAAAAAGAAAAATAATAATGTGATTTAGTCATGTTTGATTTCTATGACGATTGCCGCAACGAATATCTAGATTCATTCTCCTCTCACGGATAAAAAGGCTAAAAGCCATGGCAAGATTGTGTGGGTGTTGGTGTTTCTGTTCTTGAATTGCCACCGAAATTGTTGTTAATTTTTTTCATGTTTCAATCTCCTTTTCCATTTTCTGCTTACGACAATGAATTCATGACTGCATATTTACTAGTGCAGTGTAGTTTTCTGTCTTACTTATTATCTTCCTTTGCTCAGGATTGTTTAATTTTGTAGAGACACCAGTTTGCTCCACACCTGCTCGATTGAATGCCCCTGATACAACAACTTCTTCCAGATACAGGGATGTCCATCTCTCACTGTGAGGATAATGATTCTGACAGGATCAGCAACCTACCTGACAAGCTGCTGCACCATGTCATGTCCTATCTAACAGCACAAGAGGCAGTGCGGACATGCGTGCTGTCACGGAGGTGGCAGAACGTCTGGTCATCTATGATGTTTCTGCATGCTAACGCAGCCAAGTCCAGCAGCATCACAAGTTTCAAGAAATTTCTCGATAATGTGCTCCTGTACCGCAATCCTGTTCCACTGAAGGGACTTTGGGTTTCTGCCGCCTGCGACAACTCTGATGATTCCCTTGATTATTCCGACATCCATCGATGGGTTCATCATGTTCTTAGGAGCAATGCACGCGAAGTTGGCATATTCGTTCGTTGTGGTTCCAAGCTTCTTTCTATAGATGGTTATCCCTTTGCTTTCAACTCGGTGCACTTGTCTAAGTTGGTGCTTTTCAAGTTTACAGTAAATGACTGTTTTGCCAAGAAGTTTTCTTCTGGTTGCCCGGTTTTGAAGGATCTTGTGTTGATAAGCTGTGGCATCGATGTCACCATGTTTTCCTCAACCACATTGAAGAGTTTCGTCATTCACAATGCAGAAGACATTGAACATCTGCCCAAACAAATTGAGTATCTTGTCATAGAAATGCCAAACTTAGTTACCCTGCATATAGAGGAGATTCCAAGAAGAAATATTCACCTTGTGGACTTGTCGTCAGTGAAAGAGGCCACAATTTACTTTTTTGAACACTCTTTTCGAAATTCCGCTGTTGACTGCAATATTCTCAGTGCTCTTTCAAATGCCACAAGCTTGAAGCTGATATGTGATTCTGTCTATGATGAAGTATGCTACCTCCTTTGAACATTTTCTCCTATCGGTTTTTATGTGTTTTTCTGATACACCTTTGGACTTGTCGGCAGGTGTCAAAGGTATTAATGCGTGATCTTCCAAGGTGTAAGGCATTTGACAACCTGAAAAGGTTGAAGCTTGGTGAGTGGTTTCTGAGAAATGGATGCTATCCGCTACTCTTCTTGCTTCGGTACTCACCTCACATAGAAAAACTTCGCCTGCAACTTACCAAGGCAAGATATAACACCTCCCCCCTTCCACATTGCTGTTTTTGGTCACGGCTTGAGTTTAATGGTTTCCTTTTTTATTCTTGTTATCAGCTTGGAGCTGAGGAGTATGAGAAGTTTCCAACTGCTGCAGCAGCAATAGATCCTCCATGCAAAGAAGCAGCAAGAACGTTTCATTGTGAAAAACTTACAGAGATTGAAATCGTCTACCCTCAGGGCGATAAAAGGGTGCACATCATTGTGAGGATATTGATTGCGAACATTAGCCCTCTCCCTGAAATTAAAATCAAGCCCTTTCCGAAATCCGGATTATCATGGTATGTTTCTTAAAATTGCCCATTCATGCTTATTGAATTAGTGGCTTATGTTTGGAGGCATTTGACACACATCATTTAAACTATTCTATTAGGTGATCTGTGGATTTTGGTGACTGAGGTGTCTATCTGGCTGGATTAGATATTCTGATACCAAGGATGATGTTTTTGGAAGACTTGTTCAGCTATCCTTTATGTTCATAGTGCATGTCTGCAGGAACCAATTATCAGAACAGCGAGCTCATCATCATCAGACGAACCAATTATGTTCTTAGTTTCTGAACAGCCAAGTGTTCTGAAGCTTCTCATTCCTGTTTACAATCCGGCTGTTTTTCTGTTTCCTGTATGACGGTACTTTCTCACTTGTCCATTTCAAGATTGCGATTTGCAAACTTCTTATGTGCGACCAACACTTGTGCTTGCTTCTGCTGTTGTTGCTTGTTTATTTCATTTCAATTTTATCTTCGATTTTGGAGATGGAGTTCGAATTATCGTTCGGCTACTTCTTGTCAGCCGCTGTCTCGCAGCGACAACCCATCTGATAATTTCGGAGCAGCGAAAGTTGGGCCGGAACGTGAATGTCCATATTTGTTGGGCCGGAACTCTCCTTAGGCCAGCCAACCCACAAGGCGTTTGGTCACTGACATGTGGGCCAGCCAGACTCATCCGCCTCGTTACACGCCTAGCGATCCAAAAATCCAGGGGCTCATGTCGTAATTACGAATCAACCAGAGGGACCAGTTTGAAAAAATCTCCTGCTCTACTGCATCTGAGCCGCACGATACGATCGTACGGCTCAGGGAGACCACAGCCAGGGGGGGGCAGCTGACATGTGGGGCCGGCCGACCTCTGCGTTGGTGTCGCATTTCACTTCCACGCTTCTCTCCGGCCACCGGCGGCGACACCCGGAGGCCCCCGCCGGCGGCGGAACGCCGGCGAGCCGCGACCAAGGCTGGGCCTGCATGCGCGACTACACGGGCTATTTGGTGCGTGCTGCTCCTACCTGTTCTTCTTAGTCCATTCTTTCGGTTCTACTAGGGTTTTCTTGTCATCCCCACTGCTCCTCTAGTTTCTACTCTGTTAGGGTGTTAGAGATCAATGTCGTGTTGTTTCTTACAGTATGGTGGGTTTTGTTGCACTTGAGCCTAGTGTCTCAGATTTGCTGCTACTGTACAAGTGTTATTCGCACGCTCCTTGGTCTGGAACCAGGGGATTATTCTGAGAAGAATAAGAAAAACGAACCTTCGACTGAGATTAGTAATATTTGATTTCTACCTAGATTCTCCTCGCGCTCGCTTCGATCCCAGTGGTTCTGGAGTCGGAGGGCCAGATGTGGTCTTTAGCCGGCATTGCTGTTTTTGGCGATTTCTTGGGAGTGTAGCGTGGCTCTGTCCCCTTCCGCTGTTTGGAGTTGTGTTTTAACTGTCGTAGTAGTCCGTAGCTTCAGGTTTTCTATCCCCCCCCCCCCCCTCATAAGCTAGTCTGGCTGATTGCGTTGTGTAACAAAAACTCTTTTCCTGCTAATATATTGACGTGCAATCCTTTTGCGCGTTCGCGAAAAAATACCTAGATTCTCGTCTAGTGGATAAAACCCAAGGTAAGGTTATGCGGGTGCTACTGATTATTTTCTTAAATTGCCACTGAAATTGTACTTTACCTCATGCTTGAATCTCGTTCCATTTTCTGCTTATAATATTGAATTCATGATGACATTTTACTAGTGTGGTGTAGTCTTTTATAGCTTACTCTTCTACCCTTGCTTGGGATCATTTAATTTTGTAGAGACAACACCTTGCACGGAAGCTGCTCGATTCAATGTCCCTGATAGAGCAAGTTCTTCCAGCGACAGGGATGACCACCTCTATCAATGAGGAGAATGCGCCTGACAGGATTAGCAGACTACCAGACGGGCTGCTACGCTTTGTCATGCTCTATTTAACCGCGCAAGAGGCAGTGCAGACATGCGTGCTATCGCGGAGGTGGCAGAATGTCTGGTCATCTACAAAGTGGCTCAAAGCTGATGCAGCAAAGTTCAGCAGCATGAAAAGTTTCAAGAAGTTTGTTGACAATTTGCTCCCGTACCGCAGACCTGTGCCACTGGATGCACTTTTTATTCTTGCCACCTGCAACCACTCTGATGATTCCCTTGATTATTCTGACATCCATCCATGGATTCGTCATGCCCTTAGGAGCAATGCCTGGGCTCTTGGCATTATGGAGCATTGTGGCACCAATCTTCTTTCAATTGATGGTTATCCCTTTCCGTTCACCTCGGTCTACTTGTCTATCTTGCACCTTTGCCATTTCATTATAGATGACAGTTTTGTCAAGAAGCTCTCTTCTTGTTGCCCGGTCTTAGAGGATCTGGAGTTGAAAAACTGTGCCATCATTGTCACCATGTTTTCCTCCACCACATTGAAGAATTTGCTCATTAACTCTACAGAGACCACAGAGCATTTCCCCCCCAAAATTTGAGCATCTTATGATAGATATGCCAAACCTAGTTACCCTGCATCTAGATGAGATTCCAAACAGAAATATTCAGCTCGTGGACGTGTCATCAGTGAAAAGGGCCACATTTTACTTTTTTGAACTCTCTTTCCAAAATTCTGCTGTTGACTGCAATATTATCCCTGCTCTTTCCAATGTCACAAGCTTGGAATTGGTTTCTCCAACTGCCTATGAAGATGTATGTGACCTCCTTTTAACAGTTTCTTATATGTGTTTTTTTATATGGTTTTCCTAAAACATGGTCGGACTTGTTGGCAGGTGGTGCCAAATGTGTTAATCCGTAGTTTTCCAAGGTGTAAGACATTCAGCAACCTGAAATATTTGAAGCTAGGTGAGTGGTTTTTGAGAGATGGTTGCTATCCTCTACTTTTCTTGCTTCGGCGCTCACCTAACATAGAAAAACTTCACCTGCAACTTAACAAGGTAAGATATAATACCTCAGCCCCTTCCATATTGCTATTTGTGCTCATGGCTTGAGTTTGATGGTGTCTTTCATTCTTGTTATCAGTATGGATCTGATGACTATGAGGATTACCCAGATGCTGCTGCAGCAATTGATCCTACTTGCAGAGAAATAGAAGAAATGTTCAATTGTGTAAAACTCAGGAAGATCACAATATTCTACCCACAGGGTGATGAAAGAGTGCACATCATTGTGAGGATCTTGATTGCGAATATTAGCCCTCTCCCTGCAATTAAAATCAAGCCCACCCCGGTTTAGCATGGTATGTTTGTTAAAATTCTCCATGCATGCTTATTGAATCAGTGGTTTATGTTTCAAGCCATTTGACAGACATCATTTAAGCTGTTTTGTTAGGTGGTCTGGATTTTGGTGGCTGAGGCCTGAGGTGTCTATCTGGCTGGGTTAGAGATTCCAGTGCCTGGATGTTGTTGGAAGATTTGTTCAACTGTTCTTTCTCCTTTTGGTGACGATACTTGTGACTTGTCTATTGCAACTGCGTACTTGATCTGTAAAAGTTCGATTTAATTCAGCGTTTGGCGAATTTGGATGCACTTGTGCGTCTTGATTAATTCCTGGCAAGGTTTGGGAGGTTTTATTAGGGGTGCTGTATGAGAAGCCCCCAAAACAATGGAATCATCTGGCCATGAAGGCCATGGCCCTGTTGTTTCATTGGAGCTTCACATGGTTGTTTTTTTCTCTTTATCAGTTTTCTTGACACAATTCATGCATTAGCGAACTGGAACATCGTTTAGAATGTGAAACCCAAATATTGAATTGGAAAAAAAAACTAAACTTGATTTCTGAGGATGAGACGAGTTTCCTTTTATTTAATACATGGACAAGATGAAATGGCACAATTATATGAATTTGATTCACTGACATGGTATACAACAAATGGAACGGACATTAACATTACACTGGCATATTAAGACAATTACACACTAAACGCAATTACGCAAACAATGATGAAGCTGCATGTTGCTATGGTGAGACAACAATCTCCTTGAGCTCATGGGAATTACTGCCTTCACCTAGGGGGATGAGCTGATACATCAACTAAATTTAGTTTAACAAGAGTTAGTGTGCACAATAGTTAGCTATTACAAGACTCTGTGCCTTGGGAAGTTCCAGATGGAGTAGCTGCATCTTCTTCATCGATATTGAGAGCAAGGATAATAATAGAGCTCACTATCTACTGGAGTATTAGCCTATCTTAAAGCTAACACATATAATAGATTAGCTATAAGGTTTAGCTATAATTTTCTTCTCCTATCTCTATCTCTCACTTATACATTTATTGTTTTTGTCTTGGAGTTTGTGTTAAGTTAGCTCTTGCATGAGAGCCAACACCTTTGATTTTTTGTTACCTCTCTCCTCCACATAAGCTTATAGCAAGCTTATAGCTCACTATTATACTTGCTCTGAGAGGCTTGAAATCTCGGGAATTTGAAGGACTAGTGCCACCATCTTGTCTGTTCTCCCGAGGCTTCCTTTTCAGCAAGCGGCACTATTGTCTCCTCTGAAGCCTCTCAGGGAATGCCTCCATTCCTGCATGTGCCAACAGGAGCCACAATATCAACGCCTGATCCAAGGCTCTTGGCATGCAAGTATCCTCGACATCTACCAGCGGAGAAGAAGAGCATCTCCACCCACACTTCTTCTATAAGACTCCACATTTTGTCCTCGTCATCTAGGCCCATCAACCTTTGTGCAATCAACCATACTGGGCAAAGCCATAATTAAGCTTCACAGCCAAAGTAATATTGTGCTTATTGATGAAGCAACAACCTAAGCCGGAGTATGTGCTGAACTGCAAGATTTTGAACTCCATCAATAGGGTTATGTGGAATACTATGGGACTATCAATTTTGTTTGGTGTCATATCCTGTAACTTAGGTTTGTTTTTTTTGTTTTACCTCAAAAAATTCTATCAAGCTTACATTGCATTTGTGTTTATTGCTCATCTTGTAAATTACTAAATCTCACCATTGCAGAATATTCATATAAAATATTAGCACAACCATTTAGGCAATGAGGTTACATCGCTGATAACATGACTTGATAAATTATCCTAAAAGAAGTATATTACATATCCTTTGGTCAGTCATATAACTCTAGGCGACTTCAATCTTACAGCATCTCTAAGACTTCAATCTTATAGCACCTGTCATATACACCATCAGTCAACCTACATTTAGAAACATTTGTCAATTAAGCACATAATTTTACCATCCCAAAAAATAAATGTCCTCGCAATATCCAAATCAAATGCTGATTGAGTCATCTAGTTAATTATGCCAAAAATAAATGTATTCAAATTGAATGGTTAATCACCCTCGGGTTAGCTATGACAGTATTAAATTCTGAATTATAATTCTAGATGCATGGGCTGATAATAAAGCTAACACATGTTCCAAACTATAGGAAGCCATAGTACAGAACTTGCCAAACATAATTTGCATTGTGAGGATTTTTTTTAAAATGAAAAGTGAGGATGAATTTTGGGGAAAACAAATAGCAAAGTGAGGCTTTACTACAATTCAAGTAGTTACCCGCTTAGAAGCATCAGAGAACGGTACAGGGAAAGTAATGCTTTCCTTATATGAGTCGGCGAGATTATGAACTTCAACCTGCATAGAGAAAAACAAAATGGGTGTTCAGTTTTTTTTTTCTTTTACCTTCCAGTACTGAACAAAAAGTAATTTTTTTTTTCACATGTAGCTTTTAACGTACCTTGAGATCTACTGTAAAGCTTAAGCCCTGCAGGTATCCCCAACCAAGAGAAAGGAGGTAATCTTCTAACTGTTCACAAGATGTAATTAGATATAAACCATATTATGTTTATAGTAAATTAATTAACAAAGAGCAACAGTTCTTATCACCTGAGGTAAAGTAGAACAACGGTTATCCTTAAAAACAATCACGTCCCCTCGTCTAATACCGATTCTCTCAGCAGTAGAATCAACTTTTACCTTAATTTGAGACCAAAAAGGGTCAAATACTATGGGTCAAATCCTGTGAGAAAAATATCTGGATGGAACAGTATTATACCAGATTCACAATGAAACCGCCGGTGATATTGTACTCAAGACAAAGTTCCTCCCGCATAGAGACATCCAGTAGTTCCACAGCCTTCAATTGCATGCCAAGCATGGGACGAGCAACACGGCTAAAAATGAGTCGGATTTAGAGCGTCAGCTCCAAAAGTTAAACTATAAAATGTTTTTTTGGCTAATCCAGAACAAGTACTATAAAGTTTCTTTCTTTCTTTTTTAATTTTTTGCCAATCCAAGTAGAATATAGATCACAATAGTTAGGGGGAAAAAAAAGGAAACAGACCTAAACTGATGCCACATCTCAATGCAAGTTCTGATTGTAGTGATAGAGATAACAACCGGACCCGGGTTTCTATCAAATGCAATTCCAATGATATTACCATCATGGTCAACCACCGGCCCTCCTGAACCACCCTACATTAAACAGATAGTATGAAATTAATTACATAAGAATATAAGAATGCATTAAAATGCGAACATAATATTGCATCAATACCTCGGGAATATCACAACTCAGAAACATATAGGGATTGGTCAATAACCCAGGATAATCCAGCCATGAAATTGTTCCATGCCTAACCATTAAGGACATGTTTTCATCCCTAGCCAATGCAAATACATCCTGGCCATAGTTTATGCCCAAGCCAAAAGAAGGGACCTGCAACTGGAAGTCTCCCTTGACCTCCAAAAGAGCGATACCATAGTGTACATTGAAGAATAACAACCGTCCTTCTGTAATTGTCCTATTTGGCATACGAACGGATAGCTGAAAAGTTTGAAATTTGATCAAATATAGTTAACTAGTATAAAAAGGACTAAATATCATAAGAAATTGCATAGATAAGTACCTTCAAGAAAAACTCTAGGTGGGTAAAGATAATTGAAAAATGGGCGAAAGGATAGAAAAAGAATCAACATCGTGGAGTATAACAAGAGGCATGCAAGGCATAGATATTCGGTAACAGTAACACTTCTCTAAAGAAAGGCAAAACCAAGCGCATAATATGATTTTAAAACAGTGCGTTTAGATTGTACTAAGAGAGTGCCAAGAACATTCAAACAATAGATGAAATAACAAAAGTAACTGTGAAGGGACCCACACCAAGACATGGAAAAAACATGTATCAAAACCACCATGTAGACAAATGCCTCAACACAATAGAATATCCAATGCAGCGTGCTAGGTGCAGGTAGCTAAGCCGTAGTGAGACAAACATATGCAGTGGTGTTTAATGTGTTGCTTGACATTACATAATTTGGTTTATAGAGTAAAAGCAAAGGGTTAGAATTCTTGTGTCACTTTTACATTAAGCGGAGAGAGGCCTTTGGAATGCCAAGTGGGCAATATAACCAGATTTATTTGACCTCAATTTCAATAATGTCAGTAAAACATGGATGACAAACAAAGAGAATTAGACAACAGCAGTTGCTACGTGAACTCAAATAATTAAAGCACCTGCAGGCAGGCATGATCAACTACACTGATAAGATGCAGCATTTAACATAGAAGACCATACGCACGGCATATATAATTTGAAGAAGCGAATTATGTACCTTGAATAAATTCACCGTCGAAGTCGCACACCGTAGAACAAGAGGTCAGGATCTTGGCGCACTTGTTGGCCCCATCCCAACCAATCACGATGCCGGTGCACTGGGAAATCAGTTCCCCATCTGCAAGCTGTCCATTGTCACATTCATAATTTCATATAGCTAGGATCATCATATGAAAATATTAAAGGTCGATCGGATGATTTGTTTTACCAGGCTTTGAGGATGAAACACTGACAACGGAACGAGCCACACGCAGCACCATGGCCTTGTCTTGTGAGCTGACCACGGCATCAGGAGTGAGGGGATCCCGGGGGTTATCTCTGAGAGTGGGGATATCTTCAGGACGAGCTAACGAGATCGAAGAAGTGAGATCAGTGGTCATGACTCATGAATCAGGCAGGGTTTAATTTGAAGGATTAGGCAAGGTAAGAGAGGAAAATTAATTAACCTTGTTTCTCGAGCTTGCTGATCCTGCTGCACTCCTCCATCCATTCTTGAACAGCACTCATGTGTTTCTTGCTAAGAGCATGTTGCCCTGGCCGTAAACTGGGGTAATCCGGGTAGCGACCAGGGACCGGCCGGGAGGCCAGCCTTGTACTGCCGGCGGCGGCGGCCACCGCCGTTGTCGTCTTCTTCCTCTTCTTCGGCGGTTGATCAGAAGAGCCCGACACTACCCTAGGGTGGTCGGTAGAATCCGAATCCAACCCTAGGTGACTCCTCGCTGATCTAGATCGAGTCCACCTTCCACTGCCCGCCGCCGCCGCCGCTGGAGCAGGACTCGTTTCCGATGATTTGGGAGCTTCTTCTCCACTCGCGGCGTGGGATAGTGCCGCCCCCGTCGACCTCCTCCGCAATTTCGGTGGCATCGATCGATCGATCGCCGCCGGTCACGATTTGCGGAGTCGCGGGCGCTAGGGATTTGTCGGCTTGGGTCCCTCTCACTCCGTCGGGTTGTACAAGGCCTCACTACTCCCTATTTGTTGGCTTGTTGGGCTGGTTCTTTTTCAAAACGGAATCGACCTTATTAAAAGTGCCCGTGCCACGGAGTGTGTACGTTGACCTTTTTGGTTTAGGCAACTAATCTGCTCAAAAAAATTATTTATTTTTAGATAAATAATCTGCTATATATCCGTGGAATACATAGGATGTTTAGTTTGGATTTAGCATGGGAGAAAATGGATAGACGAATAATGCAATTGTCTTTGCCTAGAAGGCGATGGATGAAAGTTTGTATGACGAAAAATATATTTATATTTTTTTACGTAGGTAAGTCTAATAAAATATGAGTGAATTTTTTTACTCAATGTACTTTGAATTGCGGAATATATTTTTTTCGAAACACATAGTACAAACGCGCTCACAACGCGAGCATTAAGATTGACGAAGTCACCACGAACGCTTCGAACATCTATGTCAAATCAAAGATTTGAACCCAGAATGACTGGTTCTACCACAAGAAATAGTCAGTTGACCTATGCTCACTTTGCAATTGTGGAAATATACTTATGCATTGTTACCTAAAGAAAATATGTGGAGTTTATCAAATCGTAAAATCAATCTTATTATTTTTGTGAGAGTGAGTATTGTTTTTTATTTATAAATTGTATTTGAGTCAAATATTAATAAGTAGACATGAAAAAGAAAGAAGATTAGACATATAAAAAATGAAAAATAGTAGACAGTGAGGGAAAAATATAAAAAATAAAAAAAAAGAGCGGACAGAGACAAAGAAAAAAGCATAGTGGACAGGTCGACAGGTTGAGGCCTGTCTGGATCTTGCATTATCACTCTCTCGTTTCGTCCGCATGGTGTTTAGATTAGTCATATATAGTTTTGACGTGTCATATTTGGTACTGTACATGGTGTTGTATAGGATGTTCGGAAACTAATAAAAAATAATTATAGAATCTGTCAGTAAACCACATAATAAATTTGTTAAGCCTAATTAATCCAGCATTAGTAAATGTTTACTGTAACACCACATTATCAAATCATTTAGCATTAGGCTTAAAAAATTTATCTCACAAATTAGTTATAATCTGTGCAATTAGTTATTTTTTAAGCCTCAGATTTCTTCCTCTCCGTCGACGTTGCTGCCCAATCCACCAAATCGTCTTCTCTTCCCCTCGCAATTGTCAGCCCGATCCACGACGTCATCACCAGCCTTCTTTTTCTCTCGGCATGTGCTCGCGGTTAGTGAGCTTAGTGCCGCCGGATGATGTCAGATCTGGTGTCTTCCTCCTCATTACTGCTGTTGGATCCGGTGGGTTTTTCTTTCCTAGTGATCTCCTCCATGGGATTTAGCCTCCGCTTAGTTCCACACATAAATTTTACACCATATCACGTCAAGCGTTTGAACATCTGCATAAAGTATTAAATATAGGCTAAAAAATAACTAATTGTACAAATTGTAACTAATTTACGAGACGAATCTTGTAAACCTGATTGCTCCATGATTTGATAATATATTGCTACAGTAAACATTTGCTAATGACGGATTAATTAGGCTTAATAAATTTGTCTCGTTATTTATTGACGGATAATGTAATTAGTTTTGTTAGTTAGTGCCCAAACACATTATACGACACCCTATATAATACTCAATATTACACGCCAAAACTTTGCATCCCTTGATCTAAACACCCCCTTAGTCTGATTGGGGCGCTTTTTTTTTAAGGATGTCTCAGGATTTGGTGCAGTGGAGGAATCCACCTTACAAGGTTTAGTTCTTCTTCTTCCTTTCTCTGCCGCTGCGTTGGTAGCGCTGGAGGGGTTTTGTAACCACCTTGTAATTTTCCTTTGCAGATGTGATTAACCACCTTGATATGGTGCTCGGCAAGGGCATGGCTGTTATGTACAGATTTGCAGGACCTTGGATAGGGCTTAGGTAAAGGAACTTCCATGATGACATTTGTTTGTAAACTTTGGATAGGTAACTGTATGGCTAAGTTGGTTTGTGCCCAAAAAATTCCTTGTGTGAAGGCTAGTTCTGTATATTGATCTGGAAAATAGGAGATAGCCTTCACTACCTACTTTGTTGTCACTATATTCATGATTTTGCATTTTTTAAGCATGTTGCGTTTCTGAGGGGTTGCTTCCCGTACCACCAGATTGATTAGTCTGTGATTAGGTAGGTAATTTTAATTAAGGGGAAAAAACTAATACAGATGCTTTCATGTGATATTTTTCGGCGCAATAGGAAACATTAGCAGTTCAGCACATAGAGACAAATACATAGTTGTTTAACAGTAGAAAGATAGTGTTTCTATGAAGAATTGGATGTGAATTCCACTTCCGAGTCAGTGACAGCGTTGGCTTCTATCTTCCTCTCTTGTTCACTTTTTTTTACTGCATATTTAACCCATATTGCACGTCCTATCTGTCACTAACTCCAATGTGATTTAATTTTTGCTTTCACTTTCCCAATTTGTTGTTATCCATTTGTCACCAAAATAAGATTTTCTTTAAGAAAACAGAACGCGAACTACTTAAAATAGTGTTCAATCTGTTAACTTAAATTTATGTTAAGAATTAACTAAATTGGTTGCTATTTTCAGGTATATTCAGTAGCTTAAATGGGGGATCTAAAATATGAACATGGCAAGCTGATGTCGTTTGGTGGAAGCGGGTGGTGGCCAGGTGGGTGCATTTTCTGGCAGTGATAGTGAAGTTGGTTTGCTTGGCGACATAATTTGATTACCTTTTGAAGTGATCAGGATGGTAAGTTGTAAACTGCACCCTTCTCGCTAATTTACCAGTTTGCTTTTTAAGGCATTGCAGTCAATCCCAAGCTAGCTAGAAACTGAATCTTCCTCGTGTTCCTTTTCTCAATTTCTTCTTAGCAGTCCTATTCAGTCCCATATCGCTCACTGTCTACTGTTATGATTTGTTATTATCGGGACAAATGAAAATTGAATTGTAGCACTGTTGCAGTTCCATTTTTGTCAATACATATGGTTTCTATCTAGGAAAGATGAAAGAGAAAGTAAATTTTGCAAGTCCAGGGCACTGTAAATCAATCTTTGGAAATCGGCCTGCACTGATGCAATAATTTTGCAATCTGAATCAACGTGAGCAAAGCTACGACGACAACAAACCACCGACGTGAGTGGATAACGGGACTCCTCTCCACCTCCACCTCAAAGATCATCCTGAACGGTATCCCAGGCGAAACAATCAAGCATGGCAAGGGCCTGAGGCGAGGCGACCCGCTATCCTCCTCCTCTTCATCCTAGCAATAGATCCCCTCTAACGTCTACTGGATAAGGCCACAGAGACAGGAATCTTGAACAAGCTGAGAGGCAGAGAAGTTAGATTCCGCACATCCATGTACGCTGACGACACGGCGGTTTTCATACATCCAACTAAATAGGACGTAACAGCATTTGCGGAGCTGCTAAACCACTTTGGGCAAGCATCTGGATTATGTACAAATCTACAAAAGTCCCAAGTAGCCCCGATTAGGTGCGACAATCCAGACCTCGATGATGTCCTGCAAGTCACACCTGCCACCAGAGCCAATTTTCCAATGAAGTACCTAGGGTTGCCCCTAACACCTGGAAGACCGCGAAGAATACACCTGCAACCTCTTTTCGACAAATCAATGAACCGCATATCTAGATGGAGGGGAAAACACATGGGACTGGCGGGGCGGACTACTCTGGTAAAGGTGGTTCTTACATCGCAACATGTTTCCTCCTGACGGGTCTGAAAGCTTCCAAAGAGTCCCTTGAAGCCCTCGACAAACAAAGAAGGAAATTCCTCTGGGCAGGTGGAGAGGCTCTAACAGAAGGAAAATGCAAGGTCAACTGAACGTGAACCTGCCTACCAACGGCTGTCGGAGGACTGGGGATCCTAAACCTAGAAAAGTTCACAAGAGCCTTACGCCCGAGATGGCTTTGGCACGAGTGGAAGTCACCGGAGAAAGCATGGGTGGGATCTGGAACGCCATGCGATGACACCAACAAACTCCTCTTTGTGGCAACAACGATCTTGACAATAGGCGATGGAGCTAAGATAAGCTTCTGGGAATCAGCATGGTTCCAGGGATGACGCCTAAAGGATGCAGCACCTCTGGTTTACGCAGTGGCGAAAAAGAAAAGTGCAAGCCTGCAGCAAGCATCACACTCCGACCAATGGTTGATGGATCTCGACTTGCCGGTGGTCTCAGGGTGGACAACGGCCTAATTAGTCAACTTGTCAACGTGTGGGGTGTTGTACGAATCTTGCATTTGATAGAGAGCAAAGAAGACAAGACCACGTGGAAATTAACCAGCTACGGCGAATACACGGCAGCTTCAGCTTACAATGCGCAACTTCTTGATACAACAACTTCCAACTTCAATCCCATCGTCATCCAAAAAAGAGTATGGACCTCCGATAGATTAGCAACCTGTGGGTGGCCGAATAATTCCATCTGCCCCCTATGTTGAAAGAATCCGGAAACGGCCCTCCACCTCCTACGGATTATAGATATGTGAGAAGAATCTGGACGTCAATTGTGGACTGGACGGCATGCGAGAGCGCAATGGCACCAAGCCTTGACACTCCTCGAGTGGTGGGAGACCACCGCATGCACGCATGAAGCACCGAAGAAGGCTTTTCGCTCGCTAATGCTGCTAGTTGCCTGGGAGATTTCAAACGAAAGGAACTGTAGAGTCTTTTAGCATCAGGAGCTCCCGGCGAATAGTCCGATAGCCAAAATTAAGGAGGAGGACAGAACATGGGTTATGGCGGGGGCGAAACACCTGGGGCGATGGCTTAGTGTGGACCCCCGTTTTTATAACAGGAATCAATCGTGTAAACAGTACCATTTCCCTGGATCAAGTAGTCTGGTACACACGAGTTCATAGCTGAAATACCAAATGCACATACACGAAAGTCTAGTGCGAATTATTACATCAAAAGCCCGCAGGCATAGTCTTAAATCATCGGACCGAGCGGTCCGGAATACATTCCAAAAACAGAAGTAGATAAGGCAGCGGAGTT